GTGGCCCCTAGGCTTGCCTGGCACCTAGCTCCTAGGCAGGCGCCTAGAACCTCTGGCGCCCTGCGGTGCAAATTCTTAGTTTTTTTTTTTTTATATTTGTTATCCAAATGCACATATATGCATATATTTGTGTCAAAATTTGTAATTTATTTCAAAATTTGAATCATACAAAACATTTAAAAGTCTAATAGGCTACTGTAAGGTCTCCAACTCTCAAATCCATAAATTCTCCATATTGGCATATTCCATATCCATAAAATAAACCATAATAACATCCAAGATTCCAAGTCTCCAACTCTCCAAGTCATCAACAAACTGACTTCCAAAACTATAGAAAAACCAACAAACCACAGTACCACACAACAAAATAGTCCAAAAAGACAAAAAAATTACAAACCACATAACTGAATAAAAATCATTCAAACTCCAAATGTCTGAAGCTCAAACCAATATGGTGCAATAAAGTATGAAAGTTACTTCAAAAGAAGAGAGAAGACAATCAATACATCAATAAGAATCAAAATCATCATCTTCATTGGCTTCATCTGCATCAGAATTGATGCCGTCATCATCAGAATCATCATCCTCTTCGACATATTCCTTTTCTTCCAGAAATTCTTCTGAATCTACCTCCTCTTCCTTTATCTCCCTCCGTGAAGTACCAGCAGAAGTTGCACGAGTGGCCCTCCTAGGATCAGAAGCTTGCCCTGAAGCCTCCTCGACTATTTTCCATGTTAAACCCTCCCCAGGGAAGACCTCCTCAGTACCAGGGTCACAAACTAGACAATCTGAAGCATTCTCCATGTCTTTCGAAGAGATAGGGTCCTTCTTTGGTTGGTTTTCTTCTCCTTGAGCCTTTGATTCTCTCTAACAAAAACCAAGTCATTGAGCTCCCTTTGCTCAAGCCTATTTCTTCTCTTTGTATGCACCTATAAGGAAATATAATGCATAAGTAACTACTATAGGTCTATGATCTTCGTACCTTTTATGAATCTATATTACAAAATGAATATGAACTTATAAACAAAAAAAGCATATAAAATTTTATTCCTTTAAAATAGTAAAATAGTAAAATACCAAACGAACTCCAATTACGCTCACAACCAGAAGAGGTAAGAGGTAGTTGTCAAACTCAAGATCTGCATAGCCATCTTCTGAAGGTTTGGAGCGCTACTCCCATGTTGTCTCCACCATTGGGCTGCAATATGTGGGCAACCTTTATAATTAATTTAGGTATTTAACGTTATCAGAACTTGAAAGAAAATTATAAATTTATATTTTATAAAACAAAAGTACATAAGTCAAAAGAATATTACCTGGTTCGTCTTTGTTTCTCTTCCTTAATACCCTATCTTTCCCAAATGACATCAAAGAACACTTGTACAAAATTAGCTCTTCAATTGATATCTTATCTTGGATATTTGGATCAGGAACTAATTTCTCAAGACACTCATTAAAACTAGCCATAATTACCCCTTTTGACTCAATATATGCATCTGCATAAAAGAATTTGAGGTTCAAGTAGTACCCCGCTGCATGCAATGGTCTAAGGAGCTGCCTATCCCATTTATCATCTATAATCTCACAAATTGGGGCATACTTCGCTGCATCATCGCCCAAATTCTTTGCAACCTCATTCTTAGCCCTTTCCATTGCATCATTTATAAAGCCCATGGAGGGCTTATCAACATCAACCAAGCGCAAGACCTTCACCAAGGGAAGAAATACTAATATCGCATGCTTCACCCTACGCCAAAAATATTTCGAAAGAATAATATCTTGTGTATTCTTCTCTTGGCATCTCTAGACCACTTACACCTACTCCTCTCCTCTGAAGCAAACATAGACCTTAATATGATCATCCTCTTATACATGCTCTGTAGACTAAAGTAGACAGTGGCAAATCTAGTGACCCTAAGCCTCACTAGCTCTCTCTTTTTTGTAAACTTGCGCATCATGCTAAGGGTAAGTATGTGACTGTATATGAAGATTGTAACCTCCTTAGCCTTAAAAATAATTTCTTTAATAAGAGGCAGTTCACCAATTGCCTCAAGCATAAGATCTACGCAATGTGCAGCGCAATGAATCCAAAATATGCGAGACCTCTTTTGTCAAAGCAAATGACCTGTAACTAGATTGGAAGCAGCATCATCTGTGACCACTTGAATTACATGTTCCTCCCAAACCTCCTCAATACCCTTATCAATGAAAGAAAATATCTAATGTGCATCATGAACATCATTGGAAGCATCGATTGAGTGCAAAAAAATTGTACCCGTGGGACAATTTACTAATAAATTCATGTTACTTCCCATATCACTCCACATATCTGTCATAAAAGAAACCCCAAATTTAGCCCATCCCTCCTTATGATTCTTGAGATATTCATTAGTGCACTCGATTTCTTTCTTCAGTAGTGGCTCTCCAATCTCATAAGGAGTTGGAGCTTTCAAACCTAGCCCAAATTGTCCAATTGCTTCCAACATTGTATGGAAGCTATTCAAACTAGCAATATTAAAAGAAATGCCCGCATGGTAAAACCACTGAGCAATATACTGAATCAACCTGACTTTATCTTCTTTTTTAAACCTATTTTCAATTGTCACCTGTTTTTTCCCCTTTCCCTCGTCTTTCTCAATTACTGTCTTAAGGCTAAATGTAAAGAAACTATCTATGGGCCCTCTTGTATGAGCCTTTTTAGACCCAAAAGCCCTCTTGGTCTTAGAGCTCTGAGTAGCAACCATGGTTACCTCTTCTTCCCCCTCTACATCATTCTCTTCTTCAGTTTCAGTATTATCATAAAAAATATGGACCTCTGACTTTAATTCTGCTATCTTCTTTTTTTTTGTAACTTTTTTACTCTTTTCAGCTTCAATGTACTCCAAAATGTCTTTCTTTACAAGATCTGAGACTTTCTTACATGGGGTGACATCACTTTTAATACCGGCAAGATGTTTCTTAAATCTATTTATGCCAGCATTAGAAACATGTCCACAGAAATTGCACATAATTTTATTTTTGTCATTTTAATCCGGGTTAACACAATATTTTCATCCTGAATCTCCACCCCTAGTAGACCCCGCAGAAGACATCTCAAATTGAAAAAATAAATCTCAAATAAAGATTACAAACTGACATTTTCTACCCAATCTCTGATCTTCGATGTTGGCTATCTCAGTCGAGCTACGAATCAACTTAAAAGTCTTCTAATACCACCAATAGCACCCTAAAAATAATTTCAATCATAAAAACAAACTTTTTCAATCCACAAGAAGTATTTTCGATTTTCAGCAATTGCTTTAGATTCTCATAAATAAGTTTATGATTGAGGGTTTCTTTCTTTTTTTTTCAATATTAAACTTATTTTATACAAACTTGGGGGTCAAAATGATCCCCTTTGCCCTTTCGGGCGAAATTAAAAAATAAAAAAATCGTAAGTTGTGCTGGGCGCCCTCCCAGAACTGGGTGCCTGCCTAAGCGCCCGCCCAGGTACAACTGCTTGTATTGAGGCGCCCAGGTCCAGGCATGCAGAAAAAAAAATTTGGACTCCTAAGCGTCAGGCGGTGTGTTTTTTTAAACATTGATGAAAACAATATTGACCAAAATACCCCTAAAAACTTTCTGGGGTATTTTGGTCAATTATTTTTATGTAAAATATTTTTCTACATGTTTCGTAGATTCACCTATTTTTTATGAATACATGCTCTAAATTTCATGTCACTTTGATTTGTAGAAAAAAAATGAAAAATGAAACATTACCGGACATTCTTTACCGTGAGATGAACTTTGGATGGTGATGATGGTAGGTAAAATCACTGCTCATTTTCGCCTATAGACATTTTGTAGTATCTTCCATCCATATATATAAAAAAAATTTATAAGGTTGCGACCTTAAAATGTAGAATCAAGGTGCTACTATAAAATCCATTGTAAAATGCTATTGTGAAGTTTGAAAACCCACTAATTGATCATCTGGATATCGAGATATATAAATATGAAAAAACTAAAAAGAAAAAAAGAAATTTCAAATCACAAAAAGCGAGCATCTTGCAACACATTCTTTAGACCATCCATTTTCAAGATTTTCATATTTTTATAGGTCTACTTGATATGAACCATTTTTAAGTCTAAAATTTTTAAAATGAAAATGGATTCTAAGGCCATCCTAAGAATTTTTTACATCAAAATTACATGTTATGACAAAATGTAGTGGTGCACCTTACTTTGATTGTTTAAGGTTGCCATTTACATTTTGATACAATGAGATCACAATCATAATTGACAGTTAGATTTGAAATCAAGTGGTTAAAGGCATGTCATTGTTTGGGTATAAAATCTAAGATAAAATTTCTTTATCTACTAGATTTTACATCCAAGGGCAAGAAGTGATTGTGACCTTCTTGTAGCAAAACTAAATAGTCTCATAGTATATAATTCCCCTCCGCTCCACAAACACATGAAAACCCTTAAAAATACTCAAGCAATTTTCTATAGTACTTCACTCACTAATGTCCATCAAATGGTCATGATGGTCTGACCATATTTGAATTTATTATATTTTTACAAATCTGATTAACCAAAAATTTTTTGGGTGTGTGAGAAAATATATAAAAACAATATTTAATACAAAGACCAAATTACACCAACAAATATTTCTGAGGTATTTTCATCGGTTTATTTTTTTGGTAATTATTTTTTTATATTTTATTTAAGTGCGAGTTGGTTAGTTATACACACGTCCAAAACTTTAGGTCAATTGGATTGTAGAAAAAATTATTAAAATTTAAATAGTATTAAATAATCGTGACTATCTAATAGACTTTGAATAAACAAAATACTATAGAAATTCGCTCATGAGTATTTGTAAGTGTCTTTCATATATACACAAAAATCGTGTGTGCTTTAGAACATATTACATCCATTGTTCAAGTCTCATCCAAATTTCGGCCTAAACTAGGCCAATGGAAGCTGCTGACCCAGTTTAACTGCGCATCTACATATACCAGCCATAACCATTTTTAATCACAAGGAAAGAGTCATAATAAAGCCGGAATATCAGTAAACACATGAAACTACGACTAAGATCTTGCTACCAAAAACCAGAAATATTACAAACTTGTAGACAAGATAAACATGAAACCGGCAGCAAGAAATTACACATCCGTTTTCATACCGTTAAGCAGGTGTGAACCATAAGAAGACAGAATTGGGATATATCCATCTGGATCTCAGGACAGGCACGTGAACAAAAAATGTGGCCTGTTGGCTAGTGTATGAGTAAGACATAGGGAGCTCATTTAACGATACAAATTTGAATAGCATGACCAGAAACGAAAAGAGTTGTCAAAATTGAAAACCTTAGATCTGTAGGTTAGACAGCCACGAGGTTCCTCTAGAGTCTAGACCATCAACTATTTTCTTTCTGTTGTCAAAACTAAAGAAACACAGAAAATAAAAGAATGTAAGACGTGTCAGTTACTCTCAATACTTGCTTGTTCATCCCAGACTCCATTCAAGTTGGATTGCCATAACCTAACCATTCGATCACTTCCTACAGTTGCTAGAGTCATACCACTCATATCCCAGTCCAATTGCCATACCTGAAATGAAATGCAGCAACATGTTGACACTAAACAATAGACAACTAACAAGAAGCACCAACCAGAAGCACACACGCTTCAGCAAACACACAAATACACATATACCCCAAGCATACATGACAAGCAACATAATTCATATAAATATCAAGGGTCCAGTGATTCAGAATCAAATCAAAGCAATGTAGAACTGTCATTTTTCAGCAAGTGATAAGAGGATGAAATAATTCACAGAAGACTAAATTTGAGGTAATTAATAAAGTACTGATCTAAGTCACCTAATAAGCATGTAACTTATTTTGAGATGCCAAAACAACATTGATCGTCCATAGAACTAAATAATTCTCACAACTATGAAACCAAGCTAAAATCTTGACCTTATAAGAATTCCTATAGTTTAAGAGAATCCTCTTGACTTATTCAACAACGCACTTTGCAATTAGGGTCACCAATGGAATGCCTTGCAGGCTTTTAGGCTGGACAAGGTGTTGGGCCAGGTTCTGGCCACTAGCTGGCCTGCAGCCTGTGCCCGTGGCTGAGCCTTGTAGGCCCAAAATAATTTCAGGCCTGATCTAGGCCAACCCTAGCCCAGCCAAGGCCAGGGCTGAAAATTTTTAAATATATATTTTATATATTGAATAGAATTTTACATATATTATACAATTTTTACTTTTTTACCCTCATAAGGCCCCGCTCAGCTTGGCAGGCCATTTTTTTAGGCCGACTGGCCTCAGATGACAATGGAATGAATTCGGACTAGGTCTAGACCGGGTCTAAAACTTAAATTTTCAGGCCAATGGCAGGCCCAGACCTACCCTACTCGCTTTCGGGACATACTCGGGCTAGAGCTGGTTTGCTCAATCATGGAAATGATGGACTATGCCCAGAAAAATCTGCCACCAAACGGAATTGATTAACCCAATGTTATCAGGATTAGACCGGCCACCAAACCAATGAGCGGTCTGGTCCAATCAAAATCGAAGACCATCGATTTTTCCAATTAGACCATATTTTTTTAAAAAAAAAATAGGAATAATTGTTTTTAAAACACAAAATATTTTACAAAGGCCAACGTTATTTAACTAGCCCTATCGGTCAAAGCTGGTAAAATATAAATTTTGACTAGTTTCAATCAAAATCGGTTTTTGCTTTATATCAGACTAGCCAAGAGGCACTGGTTGCCAGTCTGACTAATCAAATCAAGCATGACAGTCCAGTCTTGATAACTACGGATTAACTACTAAGGATCCTTTTAATTTACATACTAAAAGTCTTGAAATGACTGTGGGAATGATATAGGAGTACAAGAGGGGAATTCCTTAGTATTTTCTAGATTAGAAAAAGTTATCGAATGATTAAGGATATGAGAAGGTAATTTTCAAGTTAAAAGGGTTAGTCATTGGGTTTAGCAATTTATCAATTGGATTTTAAGAGTAACATTACTAACAATCAATCATTTGCAAACACTTAAGTTCCCAAAATGACAAACATGGATTTAACTTTTATGCAAGAGGGCCTAATTAAATAACTCTTTTATAGCATACTTCAAAAATCTAGAAAGTGATCTCAATGTTAGAAATTCATGGAGTGGTTTGGAGAAATCATTTTTGTGTGTTGCTAGTTTCATTCAGTCTCAATTGGAAGTCCAACTCATTATGATGATAGAATGAAGCATAGTTGTTGCGATCAAGAAAGGGATTGGGAGCAGGAGTGGCATCGGGAGAGTGAGATTGTGATAGGCTAGAAGCTCCCTATGGTCAGGGTCTATATCCATACCCCCTAAATTTTAGGGATCACAACCCAACAATTGGGGAGCAGGATCTTGATTTTTTTGAATCACATGTTAAATTCCGAAGGTCCGAGATCCATCCAATAAAAGCATCTCTTTTCTATTTGGAAAATATACAGAACATGATTTTGCAATATAATCACTTTCTTTCCTTAAGGGATACGCATTTAAGACTTGTTATTGCCTTATAAAATATCAACCTAACATGAGTGTATTTTATATAGAAATCCCTAAGGAATTGGGATCGTGTTCCCACCATATGGGAGGCGAGATCCACCAAAGGTCTAGCTCCGAGGGTGTAGGATCCCCAGGGGTGCCACCAAGTTGGAAGATCCTGGGAACCATGGAATGAACCATACATACACAAGGACTAGCCCATATAATATGAGGACACTCAAGTATGATGCATAATCCAATTATGGATGGAAATAACCCCTAACTCACAATGAATCCTCTCAAGCTTCTCATTACTTCTCATACTTCTACAAGCCCCCCTAAAAACAAGAGTTTGGCATTGAAAAGAGTGTGTCATATTTTTTTTTTTTTGGGTAAATTCATATTTTCCCCCAAAAAGAATTGTCATGTGCATGGCATAAAAGTGACATCAATAAACCCATACTTACATAAGTAACCATTACAGTCGAGTGTGAAACCTAATCACAATTTCAAATGGACATGCGATATGCAAGACTTCCAGTTCCAATGCCCCACCCTGTACTGGACAGGAAAGGTTGGTAGTCGACTCTCATTTAGTAGGGACATCCCTATCCAGAGATGGTGCCATCATGAAGATGCATGTTATTCGCAACTTGGACACGATTGTAATGTCTTAATGCTACTGTCTTGCACTTTCTTTCTTATGTAATGGCATCCAGCTTCTATTTGTTTGACCTTTTCATGATAAACAGTAGTTGAGGTAGTCAACTTAACTGATTGGTTTTTTTTTTTTTTTGCCCACATGTCTTGTCAACTTAATTTTTAAGATCCCTTGTGGGAGATTTTAGCAAAAGCAGTTCACACTCCAGTGATAACATGACTCTCTTAGCTTCTGGATCTTGCAACAACTATTTGATTCTTACTGTACACAACAAAAACAGGGAGAAACACACAATAACCAGAAGTCAATTTTCTTCAACCATATCACCTCTTCCATCTTCGACAAAGTAGCATAATTTTAGTAAGCAAATTGAAGATAAAATACATCATGTCACATAGAATCCCTCAGATTTTAGAGACCGTGATAAGCTGCTTGTAGATGCCACGTTGTAGGTCTATACATATAATTCCCAACCCTTGTCAGACAAACCAAAATGCTTTGAGGAACCAAGTACGAAGGGCAGAATGTAATTCAACCACACAAGTCAGAGAGAAAACTTCAGTAATCAGAATGACTGCTCAAAGGCTCACATGGGCAATACAAGTGAGCCCCATGACATTCCATATAATATGTCCAATCTTATCTTCGGCAATTAGGAGGTCAAAAGTTGAACCACTCAGCAAAAGAGATATTTCCAATATGTTTGGAAGTACTTTTCTTCCTATCTTACTTCCCCTGCCCTCCCCCAGTTGGGAGAGGGTCATGCCTCTCCCTCACCTCTACAACCAGTATGCTCAAATCACCAAACCTCATCCCACCCATCCCTTTCCCCTCGCACCCCTCCCCTTCCTCTCTAGTGGGTTTCTTCTGACCTTGACGAGACGATTTCCATGCAGACGAAAAGAGGGCTCAACGCTTATGGGAGGAGCCCCAGCTGGGCTGTCATAAGCTTTCGGATGGCTCCATCCTCTCCATTTTTCCATCTGAAGACAGCACTCGCCTTGCAATCCTCCGGGCCTCTGGTCTTCAAGGGTGCCACCCTTGCCTTCCGCAAATGGCCCGAGGTTGATGGATCCTTATGGAAACAGAGAGTCTAAGTCACTGCCTCCCCTTCATTCCTGCTCTCAAAAAACTTCCAAGCATATAGCCCATGCCTACGGCACTTTCGTCGCCATCCATTGGAAATCCTTAGGATTCTTTCCTCAGGGCTCCATTCAACTACTCTTGGAAGTCCTAGACGCCAGGCTTATCCCTTCCTCCCTTTGGCTCAAGGTGGAGGCCTCGTTCTTTTACATTTCCAGTTCTTAGACCTCAGCCTCACCTCGTTCCTCCCATTTTTTTCCCCATTCGGCTAAAGCGTCGACGCATAACTCTCAACTCCTAGACCACCGTCTCCAGGAAGCACAACCAGCATGGAATGCGCCACCATCGTCTAGCACCCCGTCCAGCCCCCACTCTCCGTACGAACCTTGACCCTCCGCCGCCTTCCCACGCCTCGAGGTTTGCAGGCCTAGGTCCTCGTCTCCCTGCCAGCAGCATTAGCTCATCTCCCAAGCCCCCCGGCAAACCTACCCATGTGAATGTCGCCCCATTGACGTGCCACATGCCCTTATCCTCATACCTTTCCTCTTCCCTCCGCCTCCCTCCATTAATTCCCCTGGCAGATCAGCCGGTCGCGCCGCCCCCCCCTCATCATACCCACGCCCCTCCTCGGTCCATCCACCTTCACCCCTTTTTTCTCACCCCCCCTCTCCTCCCTCTTTCCCGCCCAATAGCACTTCCTACCAGCTGTCGGGCGACCCACTCCAAGCGGTCTCTCTTCGTTCTCACTATCTTGCTCCTCCCCCCGTTGACCCACTTTACCCCTCTCCTCTCATCTATGCGCCCTCCTCTGTGCCACTTGTCAACATCTCTCCTTGGTCCTCCCACCGTCCACTCTCTGTCCCCTCCTCCTATCAAGCGTTTTCACCTCCCGTCATCACCTCTGCCATTAAACCCCACCCCCTCCCAAACCCCAATCCCTTCAAGGACACTTGGCTGTCCCCCCCGTCTTGAGATTCCCACCCCCCATTCAAACCCCTCCCCGACCTATTCCGCCCCTCTCTTCTCTCTCTTTTTCCCGTCCCCTCCTCCCACTCTTCCCCTCTCCTCTCCTTGTCTCTCTCTCTGCCTCTCGCTTCTAGCCTTCTCTCACCCCTCCCTCTCCTCCCTGTGGCTCTGCTTCCATCTCTTCCCCCTTTTGCCAATGCCCCTCTTCGCACCCCTCCTCCCCCTTTTTAGTCTCCCTCGAGGGACCCCGTCCTTCCAGCTCCTCCCCGAAGCCCCAGAACCTCAGAACCCTCACAAAAACTACTTCTTCTCTCCAACCCACAAGGAGACCCCACCCCTTTTGCTCCT